TCTCAGGTTGTGATGACATCAGACCATCTGTCCTGAAGCAGTGTTCAGAAAGTCTCTGCCAACCCCTAAGTGATCTGTTCCAACACTCCCTTGATGTAGGGAAACTTCCATGTGAATGGAAACGAGCAATCCTATCCCCTATCTTCAAGGGTGGTGACCGGCAGAATGTGACCAGTTACAGACCAGTTGCTCTACTTCCAGTGATATCGAAGATATTGGAAAGTCTCATTGACGACCACATGAGAAAATACTTCGATGGGACTAACCTTCTTCACGAAGCACAGCACGGTTTCAGGAGGGGAAGATCCTGCGTGACGAATCTTCTACTAGCTTGGAACGATTGGACACTATCCTGGGACAAAAAGGTACCAGCCCACGTGATCTTTCTCGACTTTGCGAAAGCATTCGACACAGTTCACCATGGTCTGCTCCTTCACAAAATAGGCAAGGCGGGTGTTTCTGGAGCACTTCTCGCATGGCTGAAAATTACTTAGGCGAGAGAGAATTCTGCACCAAAGTCAACCGCATCCGATCATCCTGGCACACCTCGGCATCAGGGGTTCCTCAGGGTTCTATCCTAGGGCCGTTGATGTTTTTGATTTTTATCAACGACCTGCCCCCCAACTAAACTGCTCTGCGCTTCTTTACGCTGACGACGTAAAGATTTGGAGAGCAATAAACTCATCGGAAGACTCAGATAGATTGCAGGCTGACCTGCAAACTCTGGGAAACTGGGCTCTGGCTAACGGAATGCCTTTCAACCTAAAGAAGTGCAAAGTAGTGCAACTTCATTCCGGCAGGTCACAGAGTGTAAATTACACCCTTGGTGGCCAGAACTTGAGTTGTGTTCCATCAGAGCGTGATCTAGGTCTTATTCTAACAGAAAAGCTAGACACCAGTGGAAATTACTCGAGGGACGTCGCCAAAGCCTACGCAACTTACACTTTATGCATAGGCAGCTGGGAGCTCTCACTCCCGAACTGTTCTTAAGGTTATATAAGGCATATGTGAGGCCACACCTTGAGGTGCATAATATCATTGCACCTCCGCTACTCAAAAGGGATGCTAACATTCTAGAAAGTGTCCAGAGACGAGCGACAAAATGGGTGATCGGCCTCCGCAACAAATCATATGAGGAAAGACTAAAGAAATTAGGTCTTTTCACACTTAGTTACCGTAGGCACAGGGGAGACCTCATCACCGTCTACCAAATCCTAAATGACCAGGCCCACCCAAATAAAAGCATCCTGCCATTAAGTGATTATAGGCTTCCACGAGGTAACCCGCTAAGGATAGCACACCAGAGACCAAAGACTCGAGTGCGATCACATTTCTTTTCGCTTCGTGTTTGCCGTCTCTGGAACGCTTTACCGGCGGCCGTGACTACAGCGCCATCTCTGGAGATTTTTAAGCGGAAGCTAGACAATCATGCAGAAATGCAAGGTTTGTGTCTCAATGGCTTATCCTCATAAAACTTGAAACCACACTGTCAATGATAAGCGTACAAACTAAATCCCCACGACCTATTCTGCCTTCTCTCACTCTATCTTTTCCTTAGGTCACCTTTATTATTCCACTTATCTCAACCTATATTATCTACACTACAACCTATTATTTTTATTATTATTATTCTGCTTTTATGACTACACCGAATGACCAACGGGAGTTAGGTCAAACTCCATTCACGGCAGCAATACAGTCCTAACATACTGCATACTACAAACCACATCTCGACCAATCCCCGCACCACTCCTCCTGGAGTCTACCAGAGCTAAAGCAGTCGAGTGGCGGGACTTACTACGCAGAAGCTCACCGAAGATCTGGAACCTCTACCTCACAATCAAGAAGCGAGCTCAAAGAAATCACTGGTTTATACTAGCTCGTAATCAGGATATTGAATATCTTCAACAGCGCCTCTTGTGAATTGTGCGTTACTGACATATAAAGTAAGTCATTTATGGTATGGTAGACATTTTTCGACAAATCTCTTTGCCCTATTTCCTAAACGCAGTTAAACCGATGCTTCCGGATTTGTCTTGTCACGAAACACTCAACATCCACCAGGTATGGGTATTTATTATGTACCCAAGCTATAAATAATAGGGAAGTAATGATCGGTGGCACAGTGGTTAGGACTTTCGCCGACCATGCACATGGTCCGGAGTTCGAGCCCGCACCGACGCACATCTGATATCTATGGTCGGCCTGCGAAATTTGGGCTACCGATATCCATGCTGAAAATTCCATACTTGTACCAAAAATACAGTGTGGAATCAAGCTGTAATCAAAATTTAAAAAAATCAGAAATTCTGAAGTGATGCTTACTTTCTGTTATGTTTAAATTCTAAAATGGTTCCTTTTTTTTACGAGAGAAAAATCGGTGTTTTTCTTTAGTGTGACTGTGTTTAATTCACTTATCTTTTCATCATCATTATCAACACTATACCAGAACCTCCTGACTTATCCCCTTGCATCATTTAATATCTGTCAGACCTGATTGTACATTGGCTGGCGTTATTTCACAGCTTGTATTAGTTAATCCTATGGTGCAGTTCAGGTATTACTAGCACTACTTCAGTTCATGTTAGGTTATTTTAAAGCGCACGAAATATTCATTAACCATAAGAGTGCACTATCGACGCCTAGTTAAGATTAAGCTAAAAGCCATCGTATGCTTGGGTGGTTTGCAAACTGACGTTACTATCGAGCTTTTTAACCTGAATTATTTTAGTCATCTACAGATGCTGCTATTTCCGTAAATATATTCTTGATTGTCGCTCACTCTCATATGAAGTTTGTGACTTACTAACAGCTGTATAATATATTATATATTCTTGTGTAACTAAGTGACATACTTTTGGATTATTAGGTCACTAATATTTGAGGCTTGTGGTATGATGCCTGCCTGCTTTTTACTGTGTAGCGAAAAAGTGGGACTTAAACTGATGCAAAAAGATATTTTGTTAAACTGAGCATAACTTTTAGCAATCTCCTAAAGGCACTTTAGATACTCTTGGCTTTTTCTTACTGCCACTTTTGGGTCGTCAAGATTACTATATTTCTAAGTTCTTGTTGCACTGATGACTTTGATTGAGCTTTTGTCGACCGTTTCACCGTTAGTGGATAAGAATTGATCTGAATGTATTAATGTATCTAAGATATATATCTAGTCACCTGTGGTAAACTGGAAATGTGGTTCATTGGCTCGGGCACTTAACCTACAGCTACTGGGTTCTGAGTTTCAGCTTTTACTACTAAGTCATATCATCAGCCCTCAAACAATAAGCGTGGCTCACAAATTGGTACGTAAAGAATATGTTCCCAGTTGATGAGAATAACTTTTTGGTGTACGAACCATTACTGAGTTCGTCACAGAAAGTTTCATTAAGTTCCAATTCATATTTATAAATAGACTCACGATAAGTCCTGAGTCCTAGTAGGTGCGTACTGGTGGTGAGTGCAAAACTAAGACGAAACAGCTGTCCAGTACTCCCTAATTTTGAGTGGTTTCCCAACTAATACTAATTCCTGGTCAAACTTGAAATGGACATACTGTTTGATTTTAGCTATATTCAACTGATTATAATTTTATGATGAGTCCGGCAAATTGGTTGTCTTATTCGATGACTGCGGTTAAATACTGTAACTTAGTGTACTAAAAAAGTATTTAGCTTCTGTGAAAATGCACTAAGATTATTTCAGTGTGTCAGTGCAGATGTCCGCAAACTCGATTCTGCTCTAAAGAGCTCATCATTTTTAGTGTGAACTTTGGATTCCTTTTCTGTAGCGAAACTGCGACCTGTTTTGTTGCACATAAAAAATCTTAACTATATGTGTTTCCCAAAAGTATAGTTTAGTTTCGGAGCACTTTCACCAAATCACTTAACCGAGAAATTCACAATGTAAAGCCATTATTTTGTATGTTTCTTTGCTAATACGATAATAACTTATCAGTTTGGGATGATGTAAAATCATATTATGAATCTTGATTTTTTAGTAGTTCTGTGTATAAAACTCGATGTAAATTATGATCGAGATCTAAAATGAAATCACAACTCGCCGGATGGCGATTAGTATTTTTATGCAGTCTTGAGCAATCCAGTTGTAGTATATCGTTCAGGTGTGCGCTATGGCCATTGCATGACATGGCCTTAGTGCATTCAATGCTGAGTGCTAATTGACTCATCACATCTACAGCCAAATTGATTAAGTGATAGTTAACTGTTTTTTTGTCATTAGTAAAACAACCAAACTGCTTAATAACTCTACAAGGTAAGTACCGCGTTTATTTGTAACTTATAGAAATATAACTTTATTCTTTGGTCCCTAAGAGTTTTGGGTCTGCACTAGCTGAAATAACAGTAACGACACATTCGATGATTGTTGTCATCAGTCACTTTTCATATATTTCCCAGGAGAAATGTTTCTAGAATTAGTTTCTGTGCACACCAAACCCATTCTGTCATAACAGAGTGATGCGATGAAAGCACATAGAAGACATTCCATCTACAGATACACGAATACTATCCACGTATGAGTGAAATGCGATGTTAAGCAAACTGGTTACTAAATCCTGTTCACTTTAATTTAAAATTTAGAAATAACTCGTAGTTGTTAATCACTACAAACGTTCGCTGAAGTTGAATGTGTTTAGTTAATCTTTGAATTTTTTTGCATACATCCTCAGTCCTAATTTAGTGCCAAATATATTATCAGAAAACTGAAAAATATAATGGAGTCAAAGATTTTATCACTTTAACTGCTTAGTTTGTACTAATAGGTTTAGTCCTCCTTTAAATGGCTAGCATGTCTCAAATCAACCTGTGAATTAAGGAAATATTCTTCAAAATGTACTTTGGTATTTTTTTGTATCATTACTACCAGCTTTGAATTTCTCAGCTGATAGCATCTTTCGTACTTTGCCTATGTATTCCTTGTAATGGTTTTACTTTGGATTTTGTTTCAGTTTTGGCCTTTAAGATAGTAGAAAGCACTGTTCCATGGAAGCTGTTGCCAACTATGCGTTTACTCCAACAGAACCAGACGAATTAGGTTTTGAGAAAGGTAGTACTTTGTATATTATCGGGATGGAAGAAGATCCGAACTGGTACAAGGCAAGACAAGGTAATCAGGAGGGCATGGTGCCTGCGAACTATATTTCACTGTACCCTCACCCATGGTATGTACCTAAATGTAGTCGACGGGAAGCAGAAGCTAGGCTTTTGGAGACTGATCAGCACACCAATCGTGAGGTGCAGCCAGATGGAGCGTTTATTTTGAGGCAAAGCGAAAATGATCCTGGCCAGTTCAGTATATCTGTCAAGTAAGCTAGTAATATTTTTGTTCAGCTAAATGACGTATAGTGGTGATATATAACTATAAGAGGACAATTCGACTAAAGTCTTGTTGGGACGTTTTCTCCCAATACTTTTCACGAAATGAGAGCCGCATGGTTTTCCTTTAGTTTATTTCATTTGTCTCGTATCGTGTTGAAAATTATCATTGCATCATAATGTGTATAGCGAATGTATACAACCACTGTAGTACCTTTAAGCAATAATATCTTATCATCCGGACGCATTGTTTTCCCACAAGACTTATATTATTTGTCTTAAAATGCAGTCATCATCTGTTGCCTAGAGGTCGGTGCGGTATTTAGTCACTTTAAAGCTTACAAAAGATAAAATTATTGATTTTTAAATAATAGGTATACGGGCATTCTAGTAAAATCTCCACTTTTTGTATTCAATATGCTGTCTAAATCAATGACTATTTGTTGTCATTTACTGTTTAAATACAGCATTAAGAAGTACAACGCTAAATATAACAAAATACAAAATTTAAAGACACAATGGACCAGGAAATAGCAGTATAGTTCAGAAAGATAAACAGCTACGTAAAGTACATTCGCTAAACTTTTATAAAACTGTTAAACAGAAAATGTGGGTGAAGAACAAAATGGTCGTCATTGTTATGGGTCTTGAGTCCTCTGACAATATATTGGATCGCTGGAGCTTTCAGTTTCTTCAGTCCCCTCGAAAAAGTTGTGACCTATTAAAAAATGCCGACATTTGTAGATGTTTTTCACTTTGCAATATCACAGCTTGGTGGCTACTTTTTCATTCCAGCATTTGTTTAAATTATATCCAAAATCTTCATAATATCTTAAGGCTCTCATAGTTAGAACATCCCTGACTTTCCCAACTACCACTGCTACTACTAATACTACTGTAACGACAGAAGACAAGGGCCAGACAACAGATGGTTTTTTCAGAAAGTCAAGAGGTATTTATAGATATTTATGTACATCACTATTCGTTACTGTTAGCAGAGAAGCAACGTCTTCTGCTTGGTTGTTTTCTTGTTGAAGGTGATTCTGTCATCTATCTGTGGCCATTTCTTAGAAAGTCAGGCCATATATCTGCGAATCCCACTTGCACACGTTAAGTTTGCTGAGTCCCTCAAAGTTAAGCTTTTTTATTGTTTTCCTCATGACCCCGATTCAGGACGTAACATTAACGTAAATTGTTGTCTACGATTTTGGCTAGCGAACAGCTCTCTCCACACTACTACTACTACTACTACTACTCTAATGACAGGAGAAAAAAGACTTGGTGACGCATTTTGATATTTCTATATAGGGGGATACACACCTTATCTGAAAATCGTCGTTTGCACAAATCTTACGTGTTGTGCTACTTCTGCCCCTCGTATTGGGTTTCTTTGTCTTCTTCTTGTGTCTCCCCATTTTTCGCTGCAACACTGGTTCATTTGCTCTATTTAACGTCAAGTTTATCACTCCGCCATTTGATATTTTAATGCCGATGAAAGTCTCTGTATATAGTACCGATAAATTTTGTCAGTAGCACACGCTTCAATACTACTGTTGCATACTACAGTTGAAAAACATCTGATATAGCTCATTATAATCCCTGACGCTAACTAGAGCGCTTGTTTATAGTGTTAAAGAAGGAAGTGCTCTCGTTAAATTTTATGGTTCAAGTGTCATCTGCAAATTAGCTAGTACAGACAACCTGTGGGTTTTCTAAAATCAACTGAAGACTGAATGTTCAGCCAATATTCCCCTAGTTAGCCAGTAACTTAAATTGTGTGATGGGTTTTAGGCTAGTTTGTATGTTAGCCTCAACTAATAACTTTCATGATATCTTGGCACACAACTGGCTGGCTTTTTACTCCAGGAAATCCTATTTAGTTGGCCAGGCCACTTTTAACACTGTCTAACCAATGAAAGGAGAATATTCTACTTACGCTTGTTGGAGGGTGTATTTAGGTAAAGGAAATACAGTTCCTCATAACCCCGATTATTTACGATACTATTTTTATCATCCTAGCATCATACATAGATTATAGAAGACAAATTATTGCTAGCTTCACGGGTCTCATGAATTCCTACAGTCTACACATACTGTCCCACAAGCGCCACTAAAGGTTGATATGTTCTGGTGGAAGGAGCATCCTACGCTTTGGAGGATCATGAGTATGTAGCTTTTCCATGTATTAAGAATCTCTAAAGGAAAACAAAGCAGATGCAAAAACTATCAGAACACATCAGTCGTTATTGGCATGTTACAGCTATGTAACGAATACTTTACCAGTCATCGTATGTTAGGGAATCAGTCGTGGGTAATATAAGTACGGTAAATCATTTACCATTTTAGTTGCCTCACTGACAATACTGACAATCTGTTCACCGTTAAGCGGGAGTATTGTGCTGTAAAGCTTATGTAATCTTAGTACAATGCAAGTGTGCGGATGATATTTTAGATAGTGATTAACTGAATTATATATATATCGATTTGTGTGACAGACATAAATCATCCACGTAGTCCAGATGTTTTAGAGTCTTCTTAACGGTCTGTTGCTTAATCCAGTCCACTACAATCAGGAATATCATTGGTGATAACAGACAGCCTTGACTTACTCCTGTCTTCAATTCGAGGACTTCTTTGAGTTTTCCATTGTGAACTATCTGACATGTGACATCGTTATATAGCTGTTGAATGAGGTTGAGAAATGTTAAAGCATTCCACAAGGCTGAAGCTGTTTCCAAATTACTTCACGGTTAACACTGTCAAAGTCGTTTCCAAAGTAGGTGTAGTTGAGGTAGAGATTTGACTGCTATTTTATGCTCTGTTCGTTGGTGTTGCATAGCGTTGCGATTTGATTGGCACTGCTGAATCTGGCTTGTTCCAAACGGAGTTTTACATCCAGAAGATCGTTCAGTCTCTCCAGGATGATAAAAAATAGTATTTTACTTGTTGTGGATTGGAGCATGATTCAGTGCCAGGTTTCGCAAGAGCTTAAGTCGCTCTTCCTTAGTAGTTTGACATGGTAGGCTCTCTTCCAGTCATTATCAACCATACCTTCCTCTCAAACTTTGCGGAACAGTGCCGTGAAGATATCCACTGAGGTATCTGGACCTGTTTTCAGTGCTTCTGGAAGAATTTCGTATAGTCCTGCTACCTTCCCGTCTTTCAGTAACTTTATGACACTCAAGACTTCCGCTTTTGTTAGGGAATTCATGTTCACTGTTAGTTCTTTGCCTGCCGTTGGTGGTATTTCTGGAAAAATTGCAGGTGGTGGTTAATTCAACAGTCCTTTGAAGTTATCAGTCCTATGTTTCATTTGCTTCTTGTTTCTAGTAATTAATTAGGTTTCCTTCAGTATCCGTATTGAGCTGCTCCCTGATGGGAACCTGGATATCTTGTAAGGTGTTGTAAATTCTCCGTTACCTGGAGCTTATTCTGCCTCAGTCCCCAGTGTCATAAACGTGCCTTTTGTGTCAGCTAGAAGTCTTGATTGCTTTATTCAGTACGTTGTAGTTTGAACTCGACTTCTTTTTTGTTCATTTCTGTACTGGTTTCTGCTTGCAAGCTTTTTCTGTGTTGCTGCGTAGTGTCTCCGACTGATGTCTGCAGCGACTATGTCCTTTGCAGTCTCGTCTTTCAATGTCTGGGTATTGAACTTGAATTTTGGTCTATCTTCAGCTTCTTTGAGTGCTTTCAACCTAACCTAGAAGGTTCCTTGCAGTAGATAATGGCTTGAGCCCACATCTACTCCCTCTCCTTCACTGTGTTCAGCATATTGCGCATCCACTTTCTTGAGATTGAAGTGAAATTTATCTGATTTTTGGTGTCCGTCTTGTCACCTTTTGGATAACTGTGTGTTCGCACACGCTGCCTCCAATCACCAAATTATTAGACGTCTGTACGGAATTTTTCGCTGTCATTCATTTCGCTGGGGACATGTGACCCATGATGAGTTATCTTTCTGTGTTATTTGCTCCCATTGCGACTGGTATTAATGTCATCTATTAGAATTTTGGCATCGCCATGAGGCTGAAGTCTTGTTCACCACAGTTTGTAGTTGTTTGTAGTCTTCCTTCTCTTATTAATCTGCGTTGTTTCTAGGAGCACAGTATTGTATAATTGTAACTTCCCTTCCTTTTGAGTCGAATCTTGCTGTGATGATCCTGGAGGAGATTGGCTCCCACTTCATGAGAGCTGTCGATACTGTTTGTGACATCAAGATAGTCATGTGTTCATGGTTGCCATCTGAGTGACTGGAGTATATTATTGACTGTTTAGTCAACAATTTGGAGGGTAGACTTCTATTCCATTTGTCAAAACAGATTCTGAGTACTTTTATACTGTATATTCTCATTTCTTTTGGAATCTGTGCAACTTTTTCGGTCATCACCAAACATGGTGCAGACATTTCATTTTATTGTTTTTGTTTTCATTGGAAGAAGATGCCCGACTGATTTTCCGAAGGCTTTTACAAGCACTCGTCACTTCAACTCTCCGATTGCGGCGAAAAATAAGTTAATTTTTCATATTTTTCGTGCTGTAAAGTTTCGATAGGGATCGGGTTAATTTTATGAGGTAGGGTTCTCAATCTCACGCCCAACCTTTTTTTCTTTTTTCGGGATGAGGACGTGCTAGTAAACTGGTTGAAGTTATATATATCTTCAGCAAGTGAAAATTCAAGTATTGATATGCATCATGCTAACATAAATGTCTCGTTTGAGAATCAAATCCCCAACTCGATTTTTGAAATCGGAAAAGAAATTTCGTCATTTGAATTAGGTGCGGTTGAATATGAGCGTCAATGATATGGTGAGTGTAACCTTTTTTGGAAATGAACTCCAAACTGAGTGTCCCATTTTATCACATGGTGCATTTATATAAAACAGTGACTTTGTCACACTCAAAACTGTTGATACAGTAAGAACCAGTTAAACTTCTACCAACTTCTAATGCACTGAGCCCAGTTTTGGTCAGTTATTTGAGGCAACTACAA